TTCCAGCCAGCTCTTTGGTTACCCTTAGCATGGCTACATACAGTGGAAAATGAATTAAAGCTAAAGACGTTAGAAGGTGGAAGGATGCGCAAACATGAACTGCATAAAAATTGCCCTTATATAAACTGTCAAATAAATGTTTGTGCATGGCTCCAGCAACCATGCTTGGTATGCCTGTAAGGGGCATGCCTAAAACATCTCCATGCATTTGTGGAAGAAAATTGTGAGCAGTTAAAACTATCCATTTGGTATCTGCCATTTACCACCAGCCACCCCCCCCCTCTCAAAATTCTTGGCCTGATTATGAAACAACTCACACTCCATGGACATGCTGGTGAGCATATAGCGATTCTGCTGATTTTCAAGCTCTCCTCAATTACGGTAACTTCCCCCTCTATTTTCTTGTACGCTTGTCTTTGGGCGCTTCTCTAATCTCCCAATTCCCTAACTTCTCATTTGTGGAACAACCCCCAGAATCCTCTTCATTTGGCTTCAACCATGTCAGGATATCCCTTGGTTAAACAGAGGTCAACCTCTTGACACCCCCCTTTTTTCCCCTCTTGCGAATATAGTTGTTGCTGAGTGCTATTGTATTATGTTGTTGCTGATATTTTATCTTCCGAGGTCTCTTTACGAGTCCTAGAAACCCACCACTATCCAGTTTAGCTCTTCAGAATACTTCTGTATTTGGCTCTCCATTCTCTTTTGAAGACTTAAAGTGAGGAACAGAAGTATTTGAACACCCCGTGATTTTGCAAGTTCTCCCACTTAGAAATCATGGAGGGGTCTGAAATTCACATTGTAGGTGCATTCACACTCTGAGAGACAGAATTTAAAAATAAATTCAGGAAATCACATTGTATGATTTTTAAAGAATTTATTTGTCTTGCACTGCTGAACATAAGTATTTGAACACCTGAGAAAATCAGTGTTAATATTTGGTACAGAAGCCTTTGTTTGCAATTACAGAGGTCAAACGTTTCTTGTAGTTCTTGACCAGGTTTGCACACATTGCAACAGGGATTTTGGCCCACTTCTCCACACAGATCTCCTCTAGATCTGTCAGGTTTCGGGCTGTCGCTGAGCAACACGGAGTTTCAGCTCCCTCCAAAGATGTTCTATTGGATTTAGGTCTGGAGACTGGCTAGGCCACTCCAGAACCTTGATATGCTTCTTAAGGAGCCACTCCTTGGTTATCCTGGCTGTGTGCTTCGGGTTGTTGTCATGTTGGAAGACCCAGCCACGACCCATCTTCAATGCTCTGACTGAGGGAAGGAGGTGTTGCTCAAAATCTCACAATAAATGGCCCCATTCATCCTCTCTTTAATACAGTGCAGTCGTCCTGTCCCCTTCGCAGAAAAGCACCCCCAAAGCATGATGTTACCACCCCCATGCTTCACAGTAGGGATGGTGTTCTTGGGATGCAACTCATCCTTCTTTTTCCTCCAAACATGACGAGTGAAGTTTAGACGAAAAATTTCTACTTTGGTCTCATCTGACCACATGACTTTCTCCAATGCCTCCTCTGGATCATCCATATGGTCATTGGCAAACTTCAGACGGGCCTGGACATGTGATGACTTGAGCAGGGGAACCTTCTGTGCAATGCATGATTTGAAACCATGATGGCGTAGTGTTCTACCGACAGTGACCTTTGAAACTGTGGTCCCAGCTCTCTTCATGTCATTGACCAGCTCCTCCCTTGTAGTTCTGGGCTGATTCCTCACCTTTCTTATCATCAGTGATACCCCAAGAGATGAGATCTTGCATGGAGCCCCAGTCCAAGGGAGACTGACAGTCGTCTTTAGCCTCTTCCATTTTCTAACAATTGCTCCAACAGTTAATCTATTTTCACCAAGCTGCTTGGCAATTGCCCCGTAGCCCTTTCCAGCCTTGTGGAGGTCCACAATTTTGTCTCTGGTGTCTTTTGACAGCTCTTTGGTCTTGCCCATGGTAGAAGTTGGCGTCTGATGGACCGTGGGGTGGACAGGTGTCTTTAAAAAGCTCAGACAGGTGCTACTATGTTAGATTAATGAGTGGAGTAGAGGTGGACTTTTTAAAGGCACAGTAACAGGTCTTTGAGAGCCAGAATTCTTGCTGTTTCTTAGGTGTTCAAATACTTATGTTCAGCAGTGCAAGACAAATAAATTCTTTAAAAATCATACAATGTGATTTCCTGAATTTTTTTTTAAATTCTGTCTCTCAGAGTGGGAATGCACCTACAATGTGAATTTCAGACCCCTCCATGATTTCTAAGTGGGAGAACTTGCAAAATCGCAGGGTGTTCAAATACTTCTGTTCCTCTCTGAATCTATGTGACCAAAGTCTGTGCTATTTACCTGTTTTACGGTGTATGTTGATATCACATTCTCAACACTTGTAACCTATTTTCATAATGTTGAATAAAAACGTATTTGACCATAAAATAGTTGGCCTGAAATAAATTGCCACACTTGGCTGGAATCCAAAGATATAAGAATTAATACTGTGCCCAGTAGCAAACAGGTAGATCCAATGACAATCATCTTACAGCTTTAGCAACTTAAACCTGTATAGACTGAAAACTAGGCATAACTATGCCCAATTTTCTGTTGTCTTGTCAATGTAAACTTATCCCTAAAGTGTAGATAATTTAATAAAAATTCTTATAATTCTAACTATTACATGATTACATAATTAGAAAATGTTTACTTTTTCTTGCCAAGTGCAGTAACTTCCCTGTTTTCAGCTTGTAAATGTTTTCTGAGAGAATGAGATAAGTTAGGATGAACTTTCAGGCTTCAATGCAGTGGTAGAAAAGTTGCACAGAAGCCTCTGCAGTATTTAGGGGTTGCCTGTTCCTGAACCTCTTTTCTTACCTTTCTTAGGCCTCATGCACACCTAGCATTTGCTCACTTTCCCTGAACACCCTTTCTCTTGGCAGGGGAAAAGCTGATTAAAAAACACGCCTAAAGCTGTGTTTTTAAAACATGTTTAGGTGTGTCAAGCGTTTGAGCGTTTATGGATTCTATTAGCCAGAATATAAATTTATTTTGGCCATTAGAATGAAGCACTTAACGTCTCTAGTGTTTAGGCTCGTTTACATTCGTCAAGTGTTTTTTCTGCCTTAAAGCTCCTCTACTGAACGTGCTAGTGATATTTTTCTTTCAGCCTGTAAACGCCTAAGTGTGCATGGACACATAGGCTAACATAGAGGTACATTCACAAGCAGAAAAAAAATATCAAATGCTTGTAGAAGAGGCATTTTGTTAAGCCCAGTGTGCATGAGCCCTTATTGCGAATGTATTGTGTTATTGTATAATTCTTTTATTTATGTGCAGGACAAAGATTAACTTTTTTCATTTATATTAGGTATTATAATAAATACAACATATTGCATGTAATCATGCACGTTGGGTGGAGCCTACGTGCTGACGTCAGGCCGCCGACTCCGTGCCTCGGAACGGCGGCCATCTTGGTATGCTGCATGTTTAATGATTAAAAGCTATTTCCTCGTGGAATGTTTTTACATATATTGTAAATAAATACTACACTATGTACACCATCTCTTTGGGCTCCGTGTAGTGAGCTTTCCCCCTAGGAGTTAACCTGACCAGCGGATGTTGGAGAGTGGATTGCATAGATCTTCTGTTACATTGGCCATCTAACAAGTAGCCCTCTGGTGAGTGCATAGTGGTTGTGGACCCCAGAGCACTGTGTTGACCGGACACCTTTTTTTGTTGTGATTAGCATTATCACATTTCCTTCACACCGATTGATATTTGAAGGACTTTACATATGATATTGGACTGATTGCACTGATATATCCATTGTCAATTTTTTGGATAGAATACATATTCACTATCATTGTTATATGCACTGCACTGCACTGCACTATATTTTGAATACTGAGATTCATTGTCACTATCTCTGGTGCTAGCTGCTTTTATTTTAGCAGTCACCTTATTGCTTCTTGAGATTAATCAATTGTATAACTGCATGAAAGGAAGCCATCCATTGTTTACAATTGTCATGTGACCTGCTGTGATTGGTCACAGTGATCACATGGTACAGTACCGGCAGTGGGCCAGGACACAGCCGGTGACAGATTGAGAGGCAGCATGGTCCAGCATGCCCTGCCCGGCCTATAGCACAATGATGGCCAGGAGGGACTTTTGTCAATCTGGTCAGACATCATGTCGAGCCTCTCACATGCCTGCAGGCCCACTCTGCAGTGCGATACAGACTGGGCCCGGATCAACAAAAGTCTTGCCTAGCCATCACTGTGCTATAGGCCGGGTGGGAACTGGTTAAATCAGTAAGTACCTTAGATGGGGAGAGAGCATTTGAGGGAAATATATTAAGTTTAGCTTTACTTTATGACAGGACAGGGAGCATTTCTATATGTGTGGCGAGTGGGGTAGGACACTTTGGTTCAAGGAAGATTTAAAGTGGCTGTAAAACTGAGACATGAAATGTGAACAAGGTACATCCTTCTATATGGTCTACTTGCTTCTATAAAAAAAAAAAAAAAGTGTGATTCCTGTCTTGTGCCTTATTCCTTCCTGTCATCTGTATGAGGCACTTGTGACAGCTTTTCCTGATGCCAAGAGATAAAAAGGTGACAGGAGAGGAGAGCACACAGCACACAAACTGTGATTTACTGCCACCGCTCTGCCTGTTCTCATTGTGTTCTGAAGAGGGGAGTGTGTGCCTTCCTTCCAATAAGGGCTCAGAGATCCCCTCACCAAAATCTGCACTGTGACACTTTAAGATAACTGCCCCCTGCTGGTTGAGCTGAGAAAAAAGCCTCTGATCTGTGTGGTTTTAGAACAATCTACAGAAGAAATGGCTGCAGATAAAGAGGTACAACTTATGTAAGAGGATTTGTTTAATCTCTGTGTATTAAACTGAGACCAGTCACTTCACTGGGTATACATGAGGGTTTACAACCAACTTTAATCAGCAGTTGTTATATTAATACTTGTCAGAAGCTAACATTCAAGAGCAGACAACTGTACCTCTTTTCGAGTTCTTGTTGCAGCTTCTTGAATTATCTTGGCTATTACTTCCTTCATTTTTTCTATCTCTTCCTGCCTTTGCTTTTCTTTTAAAAGTGCCTGTAAAAGACAAAGTTAATTTACCAATCAAACACGATAATATATGTTTCAAAATATGGTTTATTTTCATTTGTATCTTGTAAACATTTGCAATAGAATACCCTTAACCACTTGCCCTCCAGAGGATTTACCCCCCTTCCTGACCATTCCATTTTTGCGCTGCGGCGCTGCGTTACTTTTACTGACAACTGTGCGGTCATGCAACGCTGCACCCAAATGAAATTTACGTCCGTTTTTCCCATGAATAGAGCTTTCTTTTGGTGGTATTTGATTGCCTGTGCGATTAATTGGTTTACACGAAAGTTATAGTGTTTACAAATGGTGACATATTGGGATTTTTAAAATGTATTTTTACTAGTAATGGCAGCGATCAGCGACTTATAGCGGGATTGCGACGGGCATTCTGACACTGGAGGGAAACTGACTTGGTGTCACTGACGCAGTGACACCAATACAGTGATCAGTGCTAATAAAAAGCACTGACATTGTACTAATGGCACTGGGCAGGAAGGGGTTAACATCTGGGGCGATCAAAGGGTTAACCATGTGCTGTTTTACATAGTGTGCTGTATTAGTGCTTCACTGTAAGCACACTGCTTTGTATGGCTGTGCTATGCACAGCCATGCAAAGCAGTGTCAGGAGCTGACAGGGGAGAGAACTGAATTGTTTACAAACAGTTCTCCCTCCTTTTGGAGATGCTCGGCAATTACTGGGCGCCGGCGAGTAATCATCTGCTGGGACCCGGTGACTGACAGCCGAGGCAGCGAATGGAGGACACGTGCGCGCCCCCTACCCGGAACTGCAAAATCATATATATACACACACACACATATACACATGTGATTTTGCGCACCCATGCCACCCTGTAACAGTACTTCTGCTACAGGGTGGACAGGAAGCGGTTAAAGTATATGTGAACCCTCACCTTGTAAAACAAACCATTCTGTTTAAATATAAATGAAAGGCAAAACATTTGTGTATACATATAAAAAAACATTATAAATATCCCCCCTCTTTTTTTTTTTTTTATAAGTGATCACATACCCTCTTTTCTTAGCAGCATAAGGAGCTTGGAAAGCTGGGGCAGGAGAGGCAGCAGCATACTAATCTTTCCAATGAATGTCTGTGCAGGGGAAGGGGGGCATGTCAGCAGAAGTCTGATCATTGGAGGAGAGCAGGCTGAATACCAGCACAGCCAGAAAACTGACCACATTGTGTTCTCATTTAGTGTGGTGAGTTTTTAACCACTTGCCGCCCAGCCACCGCATATAAAAGGTGGCAGGGCGGCACTCGTAGGCAAAAGCACGTTTTAAAACGGCTGCCTTCAAAACAGGTAGGGGGCGCGCGCCCGCCCTACCTGTCCCGCGGGTGTCAACAGCGGGTGTCAGCCGACGGGTCACGGCCGGTTTTTTACCATTTTCCCCGCGATTGACGGTGATCGCTGACACAGAGCAGGGCTGCATTGTTTACACACAGCCCTGTTCTGTGTCAGTTCTCTGACAGCTTGTGAGAAGCTGCAGAGTTTCTCTCCCCCTCGATCAGCTCCCCCCTCCCTTCCCCCCGTCCAGTACACACCCCTGCCCCCTAGTAAAACACTCCCCTTACAATGCAAATTCTAAAAATGTTAACCCCTTCCTCCCCAGTGACATTAGTACAGTTTCAGTGTTTTTTTTTCACTGATCACTGTATTGGTGTCACTGGGGATGTCAGTAACCCCAAGTCAGGTCACCCCCAGTGTCAAAATGTCCGCCGCAGTCCCGCCATAAGTCGCTAGTCGCCCCCATATGTCGCTGATTGCCGCCAAAAGTCGCTGATCGGCGCCATTATTAGTATAAATAAAAATTAAAAATTCCAGTATCTTTCCCCGCCATTTGTAAACACTATAACTTTCACGTAAACCAATTAATTTACACGTATTGGGATTTTTTTTAGCAAAGACATTTTTTTTTACTGGACATGTTTTATAGCAAAAAGTCCAAAATATTGTTTTTTTTCCCTCAAAATTGTCAGCCTTTTTTTTTATAGCGCAAAAAATAAAAACCGCACAGGCGATCAAATACCGCCGAAAGAAAGCTCAATTTGTGGGGAAAAAAAGGATGTAAATTTCATTTATGTACCGTATTGCATGACCACGCAATTGTCCGTTAAACTAGTGCAGCGCTGTATAGCATAAAAATGGCGTAAATTGCAGTATTTATACCATAGTTTGTAGACGCTATAACTTCCACACAAAGCAATCAATATACACTTATTGGGATTTTTTTTTTACCAAAAACATGTAGCAGAATACATTTTGGCCTAAATTTATAACCAACTTTGAGTTTACTATATATTTTTTATAGCTGAAAGTAAAAAATATTGTTTTTCTTCAAAATTTTTGGCCTTTTTTTGTTTATAGCGTGAAAAATAAAAAGCGCACAGGTGATCAAATTACACCGAAAGAAAGCTCTATTTGTGTGAAAAAAAGGATGTAAATTTTGTTTGGGTGCAGCATTGCATGACCGCGCAATTATCAGTTGAATTAGTGCAGCGCCGAGTAGCAAAAAAAGGCCTGGTCCTTAAGAGGGGTAAATCCTCAGGAGCTCAAGTGGTTAATAGGAGAGCAGAGGGCCTGGCAGGAACACCAGAGATTTCACACAAAGGAAACATTACAAAGAGAACATGATACCTTTTCATACAAGTACATGGTATAGCAGGCACATATCAGGAATATGAAATGTTGGGTTTATATATTCTTTCAATTCAAACTGTTTCTGTAACATTTTTCACGTTAAAGTAATATGGGCATAAAAGACTCTTAGATAGAGCAGACTGTATACAGAATGTATCTCTCATTGCACAAGCTCACAATACTGAGCTAAAAAATATAATACCTAAAACAAAATCTTAACAAGTAAAAGAAATATAATCTGAATAGTCAAAGCACATATATCAAATAGTGTACAGCAGAGAAATCTCCAAATGTAAAGGCCTCAGAGGCTTACTTGTAAATTTCCTTCATTTTATGTAATTTGTTTATTTTTTTAAATTAATTTCAAAAGTAAAATGTGAAATATAAGCAACACTCAAAGAGTTAACCCCTCATTAAATGTAGTTTTTATAATGCTCTGTAAGTTGGCTGTGACGAGGAAATGAATGAAAAGGTTTGATGATCTCCAGTGCAGGGATTGTTACAAACAACAGATTCTGACCATCACTAATATTTTTTTAGGCTTCATTTTGGAAAAACAAAAGAATGGTAAATTAGAAAAATTTGATCATATAAATTATTTTCTCAGCAGGTAACAAAATAATTTTCCACAAAGATATTTCTTTATCTCAAACGTTTAAAACGATTTTACCAATTATCTCTATTCTATTCCTTAAAGATGAAATACGCTGCATCTGAGCAACACAAACCAAAAACACTATTTGTTTAATTTTTAATATTCAAACTCCCCCATCCATTCAGGTCTACATGCTTTATTTTGCTGAGAAATCACTTTGAAAAACACCCCCTAGCATTTTTGGACACTGGCCATCTTAACCACTTGCTCTCCAGAAGATATATTCCCCTTCCTGACCAGGCCATTTTTTGCAATACGGCGCTGTGTTACTTTAGCTGACAATTGCGTGGTCATGCAATGCTGTACATAAATAAAATTTACGTAATTTTTTCCACACAAATATAGCTTTCTTTTGGTAGTATTTGATCACTTCTGCAGTTTTTATTTTTTTGCACGATAAACAGAACCCCCCCGATAATTAAAAAAAAAAAAAAATATTTTTTACTTTTTGCTATAAAACATATCCACAAAAAAAAAAAAAAAAAAAATTCGGCATAAATTTAGGTCAAAATGTATTCTGCTACATGTCTGCTAAAAAAAAAAAAAAAAATTGCAATAAGTGTATATTAATTGGTTTACGTAGAAGTTATAACATCTACAAATGGCGGTATATATACTGGAATTTTTAGATATTTATAGCGGCTATCAGCAACTTATAGCGGGACTGCAGCAGGCAATCTGACACTTGGTGGAAATTGACTAACTGCCACGGACATCTCCAGTGACACTAATACAGTGATCAGCGCTAATAAAAAGCACTGATACAATGATCAGTGCTAATAAAAAGCAGTGGCACTGTACTAATGACACTGGGTAGGGAGGGGTTAACATCTGTTGCAATCAAAGGGTTAAGTGTGTGTTAGGGAGTGATTTTATTGTGTACTGTGTGCTGTTTTACTAAGCAGACCTGCTGCTTTCTATGTCTCTGCTGTGCAGAGAAACAAAAAGCAGCACACCCACGCTGACAGAAGAGAGATATGTGTTGTTTACACACAGATCACTCCCCTCTCAGCTTTGCTGACGATCACCGAGTCTTGGCCGGGACCCGGTGATTGACATCCTCAGGAACCAATAACAGCATGGGTAAATTTAAAAATTAAAATAGGTATAAAGGCTTTTTTCTGGGGGGATAGAGTAGGGAAGAGTTAATGACACTAAACAATATTCCTATTCTCCAAAATAATGTATACACACATACTACGTAATGGTCCTGTAATTTTTTTTTCATTTATTAATTTCTTACTCGTTTTTCTGCTTCCTTGTAACATCCTCTATGTGCTCCTGAACCTCTCCTTTTCCTCACTTGCATTTGTTTGAAATGAGCAGTACACATTAGTTGCGGTCATATGCACTGTACATTGTACACTGTACATTACAAATCCCATAGTCCATGAGCCCTAGTTCATCTCAGGATAGAGCAAGAGAGGGTGATACATTTCTAAATACAGCAGGATCAATGAGAACCTCTAATATCCTCTAAGGACGTTTGAACCACAGCAGAAAAAAAAAAAAAAAAAAATATGGAGATTTGGAGGAGGCTGAGAGCAATGAAGCGTGCTGCACAGCATGCTCCCAGCACAGAGACCAAGCTCTCACTGAGAGCTCTGGGTCTCGTACTAACAATTGGGAATGAGGAGGCCTAGTTTCCGATTTCCTGATTGCTGTGATAGCCT